GGCTTGGTTCGAGAGTGTCAGGATTCTAGTATAATGCAAAAGAGAATATAACTAAAAGTGGTGCAGATTTGTTAGTCTAAAATCTGGTCCCTGCTTAGAGATACTCTCACTCCTCTCACTGCTATGGGACACACACACCTACACACCACCCCAGCTGATCTTGTCACACACACACACCACCTCAGCTGATCTTGTCTCACACACACACACCACCCCAGCTCATCTTGTCTCTCTCTCACACACACACCCCACCCTAGCTCATCTTCTCTCTCTCTCTCTCTCTCTCTCACACACACACACCACCCCAGCTCATCTTGTCATACACACCACCCCAGCTGATCTTGTCTCTCTCTCTCTCACACACACACAAACCACCCCAGCTGATCTTGTCTCTCTCTCTCTCAATCACACACACACACACCACAGCTGATCTTGTCTCACATGCATACACACACACACAAACCACCCCAGCTGATCTTGTCTCTCTCTCTCTCTCACACACACCACCCCAGCTGATCTTGTCTCTCTCTCACACACACACACACCACCCCAGCTGATCTTGTCTCTCTCTCTCTCTCACACACACACAAACCACCCCAGCTGATCTTGTCTCTCTCTCTCTCACACACACACACCACCCCACAGCTGATCTTGTCTCACATGCATACACACACACACAAACCACCCCAGCTGATCTTGTCTCTCTCTCTCTCTCACACACACACACCACCCCAGCTGATCTTGTCTCACACACACACACACCACCCCAGCTGATCTTGTCTCACACACACACACACCACCCCAGCTGATCTTGTCTCTCTCTCTCTCACACACACACACACCCCACAGCTGATCTTGTCTCACATGCATACACACACACACACACACCACCCCAGCTGATTTTGTCTCTCTCTCTCTCACACACACACACCACCCCAGCTGATCTTGTCTCTCTCTCTCTCTCACACACACACAAACCACCCCAGCTGATCTTGTCTCTCTCTCTCACACACACACACACCACCCCAGCTGATCTTGTCTCACACACACACACACACACCACCCCAGCTGATCTTGTCTCACACACACACACACACACACACCACCCCAGCTGATCTTGTCTCACACACACACACACACACACCACCCCAGCTGATCTTGTCTCACACACACACACAACCACCACAGCTGATCTGTGTCACACACATCCACAAACACACCCACCACCTCAACAGATCTTATCTCACACACACACCACCCCAACTGATCTTGTCCTACAAACACACACACACACACGCACACCACCCTAGCTGACCTTGTCTCACACACGCACACACACACACTCCATCCCAGCTGATCTTTTAAACACACAAACACACCATCTCAGCTGATCTTGTCTCACACACACACCCACAAACACACATACTCACCACCTCAACAGCTCTTGTCTCACACACACACCACCCCAACTGATCTTGTCTTACACGCACATGCACACCACCCTAGCTGATCTTGTCTCTCACACATGCATACACACACTCCATCCCAGCTGATCTTTTAAACACACAAACACACCATCCCAGCTGATCTTGTCTCACACACACACACACGCACACACTCACACACACACACACACCACCCAGCTGATCTTGTCAAGCCAGACTTTCTCTTCAGATCTTGCCCTCCTCCTCCCAAACTTTCTTCCTGAATCTCTCCATCCCCAGTGTCTCCACCCTAATACAAGTCACCCTCATTTCTTTGCCTGGATTCTAGGCAGGTCCCAGTAGCCTTCTGACTGGCCTTTGCCATCGATTCTTTTCTCTGTTTGATCCTTTCTCCATTTTGCACTCAAACTGACCTTTCAAAACTATGTTGCTTCCTGGCGTGTAAGGGTAATGACCCAAATCATGAATGGGGCCTACAAGGCCATGCACAAAGAGGTTTTCACCCACCAGCTTAGCTTTCTCACTCTTCATTGGCCACCCACACTGGTGGTGCTACCCTGAACACTCTTCCCCTGCCCTCAACCCCTAACTCCAGCTTCTGCCCTCACTCTTCCTTTAGCACTCAGTTCAAATGTGACTTCTTCAAAGAAGAATTCCTAATACCCCAGACTGTTAACTGTTCCCCTAGCATCTTCACTTCTTTACACTGACTATTAACAGTTGTAGTTATGTAATTAGTTGCTGTTTAAAGACTGTGTCCCTAGTCAGAATATAAACTTTGTGAACTCAGAAGCTACGGCTGTCTTGTTCACTGCTTTGTCCACAGCATTTATGCCAATGCCCAGCACACAATGGGGTTCATTAAATATTTGATGAACGGATAGCCACATTCATGTTATAGAGATACATATGGCTTCTTCCTTGATACGTGGGTTCTGGAACAGAAAGAACCTGGCCTGTTCCGTATCGTATTGTTATTCTTTTAACTTTGGTTTGGTTTGATTATATTTATCCTCTGTGTTTACATTTTGTTTTGAAAAGGCAAGAAAGAACCCTCAAGTGGAATTGCTGCTGGCAGTTGGTGCCACACCAGTGTTCTCAGAATACACCCTGTCCTTTCCGATTTCCTTCATATGATGTAACCACCAACAGTCTCGGAGTAACAAGTCTTAAATTCTGATTCTCAGTCTGCTGAAGTAAGATCCCTCGTGGCCCCAACCACACTTCACTTTCTCTCTGAAAGCCTGTCTGTTCTTGTCAGAACTTCTCTCTTCTTGCTAAAGCATTTCATTTTCACCTCAACGGTTATATTTTCTAGCTTTTTATTATAGTTGTTTTGATACCCACCTACCCAACCTACTAGACACTGTGCTCTCTGAGGGCAGGTACACCAAACTGATAAAATGTCTGAATCACCTGTGTATTCTCAGTATCTAGCACAATGTTAGGTGTTTATTAAACACAATTAAATTTTTCATTAGTATAGTAGCAGAGTGACTGGGGTAAAGTCCTTTAGTTTTATCATTTCCATTCATCAGTTCCATCATATATTCTCCCTCGCTTCCACCAAGAAGTACAGAGAATAAAGACATCCTATTCTCTCTTCCCTTCCTATGAAAGGTTTCCAAAATTACTGAGAAAGAAGAAAGAACTGGGGAGGCTTATGTAAGTAGAGAACAAAGAGAATAATGCCAATAAATACATACATTGTTTAAAGCCCTGCAGCTCTTCCTCAGATCAGATGATAAGAAGTTGAGAGTGCCAGGGGCATCTGGCAAAGGGCGTCTGCTGAAACTGATGCCTCAAAAGAAAAAAAAAGAAAGAAGAAAAACAATAGTCCATGTGATGATAAATGGAACATTCCTTATTGTTGATTCTTAGAAAGACAGTACCATACATTGTATGCTTTATAGTGGAAATTATTTTTCCTAATGTGTAAACATCTAAAAATAATATATTCAGCCCAGGTGCTGTGGTTCACAGCTGTAATCCTAGCACTTTGGGAAGCCAGTGCAGGAGGATTGCTTGAGGCCAACTGTTCAATACCAGCCTGGGCAACATAGTGAGACCATGTCTCTACAAAAAAAAATTTAAAAATTAGCCAGGCACAGTGGCCCATACCTGTAGTCCTAGCTATTCAGGAGTCTGAGGCAAGGAGAATTGCTTGAGCCCAGGAGGTTGAGAATACAGTGAGCTATGACCATGCGACTGCACTCTACCCTGTCTCAAAAATAAATAAATAAAAATAGCATATTTACTGAAAGCAAATATATATACCTGGAAATATAGGTTCTAAACCCATTTCTGCCTCTCTCTAGCAGGGTGACCTTGGTCAAGTCAGATTATCATCTATAGGTAGTTGTGCTGCATATGGGGCCTCTTGTTACAGATTTAAAAATAGAAACCCTTCTAAAGCAAATTCCTTTTATTTAAACCAGCCCTCATGGAACCGAATGTTTTCATGGGAAGGATACAGTCAGGCCATGACTGTCAATGAGAAACAAGATTGATGCCATTATTGAAGATATGATATCATATCATATCTAGGGAAACAAATCTTCTTGTCAGTTGTTCATTAATTTCCATTCAGGTGTTTCTCTGTTTTCTTCAGTTCAGCTGGTACTTATTAAAAGCTTGTTACTCAAAAGAAATAACCTAATACGGCAGAATTGTGCATCAGGAAACCCGTGCTTTAAATCTTGACTGTACTACTACAAGCTGTATGATATTAGACACTTTATAATAGTGACAATTGCCAACTACTGAGCGTCTACTCTCTGCTCACTGTGCTAGGCCCTTTACACGTGCTATTTCCTTTAGTTCTCACAAAGCCCATCATGATAAATGCTATTAGCTTCATTATACAGATAACTCAAATGCGACTTGAAAAGGTTAAGTAATTTGCCACAGGTCACATAGCTGGTATAGTAAGTGAGATTCCAAAGTCCTTGCTTTTTTTCCAAAGAGCAAGAGCTTTCCAAAGTGCTTTTTTGCAAAGAGTCCTGGGGGAATTCTTTGCTCAAATTTTTCCAACCATAAATTTAGGGAATTTAGTTACGTGACCTGCAGAAGTGATAGTAAATAAATAACTTTTTTGTTGATTTTTTTGTAATGGATTTTTTTTTTTTTTTTTTTTTTTTGACACATGATCTCACTCTGTCACTCAGGCTGGAGTACAGTGGCATGATCATGGCTATTTTTTGTAGCAACAGAGTTTTGCTATGTTGTCCAGGCTGGTCTCAAACTCCTGGGCTCAAGCCATCTGCCCACCTCGGTTTCCCAAAGTGCTGAGATTACAGGCATGAGTCACCACAGTAGGCCTATAATGGAAAATTTTTATCATACACAAGAATAGAGAGACTAATTCAGTAACCAATCCCACAGCAACAAAGATCATCACCTCATAACCACTCTTATTTCATCTACACCCATTCACTTTTCTCTTTACCTCAACACCCAATGGATTCTTGTGAAGCTGCCCAGCTATATTATTTGATCTGTAAATATTTTAGTATTTATCATGAAAGGGAAAGACTTTTTAAAAACATAATCCTGATCCTTTTGTAGTTCATAAGCGTGATGATTGGGTGTTCACATGCATCCGTGAGATGTGCCACCCTTGAACCTTGTTGTGTCATCAGCACATTACCCGTCTGACATGAAAAATAATAATAATACCAATACCATTAGCATACCTTAAACATTAACAAGAATTCCTTAATATCATAAAATGACCAATGTCTGTGTTTCTTTCATTTTCTCCTTTTAAAAAAATAGTTTAATATATTTTAATAGCAAACTTACAGGAATAGCACAGAAGACAGACATTAAAAACCTGTACTTGCATGTAGGACAACTCAGAAAAGTACAGTGAATGCACAGAATCGACTGTATGATCAAATGCTACTAACATTATTTAGTTGCCATGAATAAGAAATTTGCTTGTTTTTAAAAAGTCCAAATGCTGGCATTGTCCAGAAAATTTTAACAGGTTTATTTATATTGTTATAAAGTTGAACTGCTGGCCAGGTGCAGTGGCTCATACCTGTAATCCCAGCATTTTGGGAGAGTGAGGCAGGCAGATTGCCTGAGGTCAGTAGTTCGTGACCAGCCTGGCCAACATGGTGAAACTCTGTTTCTACTAAAAAAATATGAAAATTAGTCGGGCATGGTGGCGGGTGCCTGTAATCCCAGCTACTTGGGAGGCTGAGGCAGAAGAATCGCTTGAACCCAGGAGGTGGAGGTTGCAGTGAGCCGAGATCGCGCCGTTGCACTCCAGCCTGGGTAACGAGAAACTCCGTCTCAAAAAAAAAAAAAAGTTGAACTGCTGAAACTTGTTCACTGAAACATTTTGACTTGCATTAATGCTTTGTGTCCTTGCATTTTTTAAATTTGTTATTGATACACAATAGTGCATATTTTTATTGTACATGTGAAAATTTGATACATTCATATAATCAAACCTGTGTCCCTGCATTTATATTAAAAATTCATACACAAATGAATATGGAGAAATTGCCAGTACCTGATTTCTGTCTTCTGTTTTTCCACTTGTTGTCATTGTATGTAGGTACCATTTGACCTCATGGGGAAAAACAATCTAACATTCACAACTACCAGTGTCAGGAGGAAGAGAGAGAGAGAAGAATGAAATATTTTCCATCACAGTGAATTCTTTTTTTTTTTTTTTTTTTTTTTTTTTGAGACAGAGTCTCGCCCTGTCGCCCAGGCTGGAGTGCAGTGGCCGGATCTCAGCTCACTGCAAGCTCCGCCTCCCGGGTTCACGCCATTCTCCTGCCTCAGCCTCCCGAGTAGCTGGGACTACAGGCGCCCGCCACCTCGCCCGGCTAGTTTTTTGTATTTTTTAGTAGAGACGGGGTTTCACGGGGTTAGCCAGGATGGTCTCGATCTCCTGACCTCGTGATCCGCCCATCTCGGCCTCCCAAAGTGCTGGGATTACAGGCTTGAGCCACCGCGCCCGGCCTTTTTTTTTTTTTTTTTTGAGACGGAGTCTCACTCTGTCGCCCAGGCTGGAGTGCAGTGGCCGGATCTCAGCTCGCTGCAAGCTCCGCCTCCTGGGTTTACGCCATTCTCCTAAGCATGTTTTTCACGTACGTTATGTGCTAGCTGGATGTCTTTTGCCATAATTGTTACACATGTGGCATGGAGGACACATAGGTTGTTGTCTTCAAAAAGGCCAGCCAAATAGTCCTCCCTTGCCTCCACAAAGCACCAATGGCTGTGCTCTGGAAGCACAGATCTGTTTTGAAGTCCTGAGAAATTTATTGCACCAGATGCTGGAAGGGAAGTTAGCAAATCAGGAGTTGATAGACTTCTGATAATATTTAATTTTACAGAGTACCACAGTAGCAGTGCAGCAGTATCTCAGTGACGAAGTTTCTTCAGCACTCCAGTAGAGGTTGAACTCTTGCAGGTGACTTTTGTATCCAGTAACTTCCTGAATGCTTTACCACTGATAGCTTTGTGGGCCATAGTATGGAAATCTTTCTTACCTCCTTCTCTTTCCACTGGAGCTCAGTGAGCTAGAGGCAGCTTGTAATCTCTCTCTCTGTCTGACAATTTGGTCATTAAAGATTTATTTGCAGTTGTTTTGTGTGTGTGTGTATCCCAAGGTAGTATATTCCGCTAGGAGTATACAGTCAAATTACTGGGTTCTAATATCACTGATAATCAAAATATTAAAACAGTTGAAACCAATCAGAATGGACAGCCCCCTGCTATGATCTAACCCTTTAGTTATTGGCCCATAAGGATGAGGGGTGGGAAAGGGTGATATCTCAGGGCAGCAGTAGTTCACCAACCTATATGTTGTTTAACAACCCAACATTGTTTCAGTGTTTTGTTTTGTTTTGTTTTGTTTTGTTTTGTTTTGTTTTGTTTTGTAACGGTGTCTCTGCTCTGTCACCCGGGCTGGAGTGCAGTGTGAACATAGTTCACTGCAGCCTCAACTTCCTGGGCTCCACCTCAGCCTCCCAGTAGCTGGGACTACAGGCATGCACCACCACGCCTGGCTAATTTTTCGTAGTTCACCCTGTTGCCCAGACTGATCCTGAACTCCTGGCCTCAAGTGATCTTCCTGCCTTGGCCCCCGAAAGTGCTGGGATTATAGGCATGAGTCACCACACCCGGCCTGTTTCAAACACTGGGAATACCATCCTCTGCATACTGACTTGTTACAAACCCTGGTGTCTTTTAAGTTCCTTTCTAGCTCCAACAGGAATGTAAATAGTCACTTAATGGAGATACCCTTTTCCTGCTTCCTTACACTAGTAGTCTTTATATACATAAACACACACACATAAACTTTACAATAACACAAATGATTATTTCCTATAATTCTGGAAGTTCTGGCAAGTAAAATAAACAACAAAATAGAAATATGAGTTACGACTATTAGGAGACGAAATTATTAGTATTTAGAACAAATATAATTAGATACCTAAAACAAAACTAACAAAAAATAAGAATAAGCAAATTATGAGTACAAACTTGTAGGCCAAACAAGTCTAAAAATCTATTGTGGTGGGGCCAGCTACAGTGCTAGCAGACCTGGATCAATTAGTAATTATAAATGAAGTTAAATATAATTAAATATATAATTTAAATGTAATTAATTATGTAACTTTCAGCTCTTCTGATTTAATTCCACTAAAATTCTTAAGAATTACTTGCTCTGGCAGGTATCTGTGCGATTGCCTTCACTAATAGCACTCTTTCCTAAAGAGTATATCCTCATCTCCCACCACCATCCACATGGCTACAGCCAGAACTTTTCTGTGTTTACATGATCCTACTTTCCTGGCCACACTTGATAAATCAGGGATAGGTGCACCTGATCTAAGCCAGTACAATAAGAGGCCTTCCTCTGGATTTTTCAAACTGGAATGAAGAAAGAGAGACAGCCACATGGTTCTTAAAGGACACTGACCCAAATAGCTGTTGGTAACCATGTTTTCTGCTTTGGGCAGATTCTGTCAGCAGTGAGAGCAAATGAAGCTGATATGCAGAGAAGGGCCAAGCCAGTTGTCAAAGGGAAATTTGATGGCAGTGGGGTTTCTGAGGTAGAACTATAGTTCTGCTCATCAATTTGTTTGGCTTTATAACCCTTCTTTGGAACCCATAAGCCAATAATTTCTCATTTTTATCAAAGAAATTCAAATTAGGTTTCTATCACTTGCTATCAAAAGAATTACCACTTCATTGACAAAAGGAAATGCATAGAATAAATTTTCTACAAGTAATAGATTTATATTTGAGGCATGTTCATTTTACTGTATACAAATCTTTTCAAGTCCCTCACTACTACCAAATTTTAAAAATTTGGAAAGTTCATGGATTTTTGATTATGTGATTAAAAAAAAAAAACTTGGATGTTCAGGGTCTAGGGTGTGGTAAGACAGGTGGGAGGTAAGTTCGGAAAGGTAAATTGAGATTACAATATATAGGGCCTTAAATGTCATGTGAAGTTTAGACTTTATCCTGCAGGTAATGGGGATCCATTTGGCAAATTTTCAAGCAGGGGAAGGATAGGTTTAGATAAATAATTCTGCTGGCAATTTGGAGCCTCAATAAAATGGGGGGAAAATGAAAACAGCTTAATAGGTGCTTGTGCTGGAAACCTAATTACATGAAGAGTATTCCAGGTGTCCAAGGCAGGGTTGATGAGAGAATCACCTAGGAAAGTTACGCTGAAAATTGTTGGGAAATGGAAGGATTCAAGAGACATTTGAAAGGTAGAATTGGTACTACTGAATGACCACTTGGACACAGGGGATGAAAATGAGGAAATATAGGACTATGATTAGATGGGGATGCCATCAACACAGGAAAAGGAGGAACAGATTTGAGAAGACACTATTCTGAGTATCACCACTCACTTTTATGATACTTCTAGCAGGTATGGAGCTAAAATGTATGATGTCCCATTGTAGCACTCACATTATATCTTGGCAGGTTGTTTGTACTTTATTGGATTTGCTGCATAATGTAGGATGCCAAAGTAATCATTACATTCTGGAAGTTAGGAGTCCTACTTGGTCTCTGATGAGGAAGGCATTAACTGTGATTTCTGTCACATGCTGGTATATACTGGTCTGGGAGAAATCTTTGATTTAATGAATAGAATTAAACATAATTATAGCCACCTTAAAATTCTGTATATCACATATAGAGAATACCATTAACTCATTGTCTACTCTGCCTTCCTCTACTTTCATGATTAAGGGCAGAGGAATTAAAATTTTATAGTGAAATAAAATTGGATAGATATGATAAAGTAATGCGAGGCTCACAATTTCAAAGTAAATATTTCTGTGTTCAAAGCAATTCACCAGAGGGCCACTTTCCCTGTACCTTCCCTGAAGAACTAAAAGCTCTAGTCCACCTGATTTTTAAAGCAAAATTATCAAATGCCAGCAATGTAACTTGTTCTGTGTTAAAAACAAAACTAGACATAGTCCTTATCCTTGAGGACTAGCTCACTATCATTCCAATATTTTTTGGAAAGTGTGAAATTGCGATTTGCAGATGGTGACTTTGCCAAAATTGAAAGCTTAGTAGCTCACATACACTTGTGTGAGTACCTAACAACTTTATAATTCTGACAACACTAATGAGCTACAGGAAACACTGGCCAAATTCTGCTTGATTTGGTTTCCATTCTTTTGCTAAATCCCTTATATCAGCACTGACCAATAAAAATATAAAGCAAGCCACATTTGTGATTTTAAATTTTCTAATAGCCATATTTTTTTAAAGTAAAAAGAAACATGTAAAATACATTTTAATAGACTTTTAAAAAAACTTTATTTTTAGAGCAGTTTTAGGTTCACAGCAAAATTAAGAGGAATGTACAGAGACTTCTCATATACCCCTTGCCCCCACACATGCATAGCCTACCCCATTATCAATATCCCCCACCAGAGTGGTACATGTTTTATAACTGATGAGCCTACATTGGAACACTCAAAGTCCACAGTTTACTTTAGGGTTCACTCTTGGCATTGTGCATTCTATGAGTCTGGAGAACTTTATGACCTATAGTATCACACAGAGTAGTTTCACTGCCGTAAAAATCCTCTGTGCTCCACCGGTTCATCCCTCCCTCCACCCTAATCCCAGGCAACCACTGATCTTTTTACTGTCTCCAGAGTTTTGCCTTCTCCAGAATTTCATATGGGTGGAATCACACAGTGTGTACACCCTTCTCAGATTGGCTTCTTTATGAAATTAATTTTAATACTGTATTTTCTTTAACCAAAATTGTTTAATGTGATTAACATGTAATCAATATTTAAATATTACTAATTAAATAGTTTACATTCTCTTTTCATACTGTCTTCTAAATATACACCAGATATATATCCGTATATCTATATCTATATACCAGATATATATCTGGTATCTAAATATATACCAGCTATATATCTATGTCTGGTGTATATTTACACCAAAATCTGGTAAATTTACACCAGATTTTGAAGACTTACAGCATATCTTAATTCAGACTAGCCAGATTTCAACTTGATCACCACATGTGACTAGTAACTACTGTATTAGACAGTGCAACCTTAGATACGAGTCACAACTGGAGACATCTTTCAAAGATTTAAGCTGCCTGTCCCTTAATTTAACAACGAATACAATGTCCTTTACACTGTTTGCCACTTATAGATGGAAGGCCACTCCAAGTCTAAGGGAGAAAGGTAATATGAAGGAAATTACAAATATGCATTATAATATTTAATCTTTTTTCCTTCAGGCATCTATCCTGCCATTCAGTTTTCCATGCTTTGAGGAATGGAAAATGGTGATACTTTTCTGTCATGATGAGTAATGGATTAGATAATAGGGAAGAGTGGAGTTGCCATTATATTGAATTTATTCTCAATTACAGAAGTCACGTACTATTTTGGAGAGAGCGCCAGTTTAAGAGGAGAATTTGAGCCTTTATTCTGGTAGACACTATATGGCCTGAGACAGATCAAGTCAATTTTTTGGATATTTTCTTATTCTCTAAAGTGAGATTGAACTAGTTCAGTGGCTTTTAAACCATACTCAGGGGAACGTAAGGGTTTATACGGGAAGAGTGAGAGTGAGGAAGGATTTAGGAGGAATTTTTCATGCACACACACACATACGCACATACACACACACACTGGCAGATTCAACCACTGCTGGATCAAGTTTATTGGATATACATATTAATCTTCAGTGTAAGTTCCAGAGCTAATTAAAATTTTAAACATGATAACTAGATAATTTGATCATATCTACTTTCCTTTTCAATGATAATATGAGGTATAATGTTCACATCTTCTGGCCTATTTCTAGAGGTCCTTTCATGTACTTTTTACTCAGACTTCCTTGTGACCAATCTTAACCCTTCCAAGTCACTGGTCAAGTTACCAAACTATTAGCCACTGCTAATTCCAGGCAAACTGAACAATGAGATACATATTATTTCAATTTCTGCCCATTTTGAGGATTACCCCTTTTTTTTCTTTTTATTTTTTGTTTTATAGATTGAGATGGGATCTCGCTGTTTTGACCAGGCTGGTCTCAAACTCCTGGCCTCAAGCAGTCTTCTTATCTTAGCCTCCCAAAGTGCTGGGATTACAGGCATGAGCCACCGTGCCCGGCCAAGGCTCGTCCTTTCCCCTGGTCTTTCTGGGTCTTGGAGCGAGCTGTAAATGCTAAAGCAACCCACTTCAAACCAAGAAAAAAGGATCTGTAAACCAAGATTTTAATTTTTTCCTCTCAAACCAATTGGACATAGTGAATACCCCATGAGACACACGTAAGCTAGGGAGGGACAGCAGTGTGACAGACGTAAGCAGCAGGAGAATACAAGCAACGTGCTCACTAAACTCACTCATCCTCAGGACTATCCAGGCCTAGTGAGTTATGAGCCTGAATTAACACCTGGATCCTGATAGGCAATTATGACTGCAAAGTCACTTGGTGTCTCAGGCTTAGGTGTTCCACTGGGACTTAGTAGCAAGCCTCTAAAATCCAAAGAGGTCCATCAAAATAGTGCCTCTTCACATTGGTAAGGAGCTCAGGTACAACAGTTTATCTCTCACTTTAGAATTACAGCCAAACATATTCTGTAGACCACTGGACCCTTGAAAAATTCCCACTCAAGCTCTCACGTGTCTTTTTCAAGGTGTCCAAGGAATTTATTGCTTTCTACTCTTTTGTCCCCACCTGTATAGGATGAATAGTCTGATACCATGTGAGATGAGGAAATAAGAAGCTTTCTGCTGACTTCATTGTGACCCAGGGTCCAAAAGGTGATGTAATCCTGTGGCAAGAAGGCAAAGCTATATTCTTGTCTGTACCAGATGAAAGTGAACTGTTTCTGCTTCATCATTCACAACTGTTCTAATAAATGGCCACAAGTCCCTTTGTATTCCAGGAGGTAGATTCAAGTAGGCACTTCCTCAAGGGTACTCAGATTTCCTTTAACTGTGTCTGAGAACTGATTCATATCTGGAAATTGGATACTGTCTCTCTTTTCTAGACATGAAGGTTTTTTGTTTGTTTGCTTGTTTGCTATACAAATCAAGTAGGACCTTAGTGACTTCTTATTTATTTCAGTCCTGGGGACTCCATGATCAGTTAGTCACCTCCCATGAATCCATAAGTCAGAGCATTCTGATTTTCACACTGACCCTACTACCTTTCAACTTAGCCCCATGCAAATGTGCTATCTAGACCATGTCGCTCTGGGATCCTGCCATCCCTCTGAAACTCAGTAAACCAAATTCAACTGTAACCTCTTTTCAGCATCATCACTGGTCTACATGAAACGTTCTCTAAATCACGTTTCAAATATGCTGACCCTTCCCTCATAGATTTGTTTCTCAAGGCCTTTGTAAAGAGTGTTTTCTGGACCTTTTTATCATTTTTATTTTAATTAGAGACAGGGTCTCGATAGGTTGCCCAGGCTGGCCTGAAACTCCTGGGTGAAGTGATCCTCCCACTTCAGCCTCCCAAGTAGCTGGGACAGGTGTGAACCACTGCACTTGGCTAGATCTGTTTTTGGAAGACACAATTGAGGTGGGTGGTTGGGTCAGATATGACAAATCTAATCCAGCATTCCTGTCTCCTAAAATTTAAAAATTTGTTCCTTTACATTTTACCTAAGAGATTTGCATCTCAACTTTATTTTGTATGACTCACCCCTCAGTCTAAATTTCGATGAACATTTAGCAGAGCAAACAGAATTATTCCTAGCTTTTCAAACTAGAATAATCCAGAATCTCTTGTAAGCCCTATTAGTAAATTCAACCCAATCTCAAATTGTGTCCTCTTCTTCATTCAACATTCTTAAAATCTATTCTAACTCACATCCCACAGATTAATTAGCAAAGTTCTTCCATTCCTTTGTTGCTTGAGACATAGCTTACTAAGCTTCACTTTGTAAACTGGCCTCTTGAAGCACACTAGAATTTTCTGGGGGGTTGGGGTGGGGGACACAGTCTTGCTCTATCGCCCAGGCTGGAGTACAGTGGTGTGATCTTGGCTCACCACAACCTCCACCTCCTGGGTTCAAGCAATTATCCCTGCCTCAGCCTTGCGAGTAGCTGGGATTACAGGCACCCGCCATCATCCCTGGCTAATTTTTGTATTTTTTAGTAGAGACAGGGTTTCGCCATATTGGCCAGGCTGGTCTCAAACTCCTGACCTCAGGTGATCCGCCCACCTCAGCCTCCCAAAGTGCTGGGATTACAGGTGTGAGCCACCGCACCCAGCAAATTTGACTCATTGCAGATCTGGAGATAGTGCAGAGTAACAGTAGGATATAAGAGAACCTCTTATAAGGTAACTCCCTCAAACTAGGGAATTTCAGCCTCTTCAAACAAAGGAGAAATAGCTTTATACATAAAAGCTTCAGCTGCAAAGAAGGCTGAGTTTGGGGGCAAGGAGTCTCTGCATTCTTCAAATTCTCCCCTATATAGCATTTTAACTTTAAAGATCTTACTCTTTCGGAATCAGCACTTTAACACATGCTCTTCTAAGACCCCAGGTAAGAAGGTGAATTTGACTGATTTGCAAATCAGCAATCGACAAGAACAAATATTGGTTTATAGCTATCTCCATCCTGGGGCTATAAGTTTCTTTTAACAAATTCACACTTGGGTTTCAGTTCATGTTTTAAGATGAGAATTTAGAGATTTTCATTTGTTAATGTCTTCAAATGAAACAGCTAGCCTTAGCACCCAGCTCTTGAATTCCTCATTTCCTTCATACTGTTCTGTGAAAACAGCAATTCTGTCCCCCACGGTCTTGTCTTTAATACCCAACTCAATCCTAATCCTCACAGGCATTAATTTCATTAGCTATTTTACTACTACAGGCTGTGGGTTTCCAGAGTCTCATCTTTGAATATTAATTGGTTTTTATTATCTTCAAACACAATGAGTCTGCATACCCAGATTCTCCTGATTTCCCTGAAAGTCTGCTGTTTGTAACTGAATCCCCATTACCAGTTTCTGTACAAGTCAGAATTCCTATTTGCAAGCATTAGTAACCAATTTTAGGTAGATTTAAGTATAATGGAATTTATTGAAAGAGTAATAGTATCTATATACAAAATTCTATGGGAAAGTTAAAAATCAGTCTCAGGAATCAGACAGGAGCCAAAGGAGGCTGGCAGCAGATGAACCAGCCAAGGACCACTGTAGGAACAGTCTGATTAGAATGCTGCCAGAACTTGGTGCAGAACTGTTATAGGAAGAGCCTAAATAGAAACTAAGGACAGTGCCACCACCAGACATTCTCTTCTCCTGAATTACTGACCTCATCACTGTCTTGGTGGATAGCTTGATGGTCTCTGCATCTTTGCATCACTCCTTCTGGATTCAGTATGGGAATCCCACTGGACAAACCAGTTATGTGCTGATGTCCTTGCTGTCTAGAAGAGGAAGATATGCCTTTTTTCAGTTTCTATAACAGGAAAAGTGTTGAGATGCCAAATACCAAAGCACACAAACACCAGACAAACAAACACATCCAGGACACCATCCTTGGGTTTGTTTCTGGACTCGCTGTTTTATTGGTTTGTTTGTTTATTTTGCTGTCATTATGCTACTGTTTTAATTTCAGTTGTTTTATCTTTAAAAAAAATCTGGCAGTTCAAATCCTCCTTCCTCTCAAATGGTTGTCTTTCTTTCTTAACTCTTTTCAGTTTAATTTTTCTCAATGAATTTCAGAACTCTTCTGTAAAGTTTCAAAAAAATATTCCATTGGCATTTCCATTGGAATTGTATTATATTTATGAATATATTTGGGGAATAATTTTAAATTTTTAAAATGCCAAGTCTTCTTATCCAAGAACATAGTATATCTCTATTTAAGCCTTGGCAATTTTATAGTTGTCTTCACATAGATTTGACATACTTATTAAGTTTATGTTTTTGTTATTCTGGGAATTACAATTTTTTCACTTTGTTTTCTTTAAAAGAGTTTCAAAGCCCCCCTTTTGGACCACAGAAAATCTTAACATTCTATAACCTAACTATGCAAATAGCTCTGTGATTCTAATTTCTCTTTTATTTTATTTTATTTATTTATTTATTTATTTTTGACGGAGCCTCACTCTGTCGCCCAGGCTCGAGTGCAGTGGCGCGATCTCGGCTCACTGCAAGCTCCGCCTCCCGGGTTCACGCCATTCTCCTGCCTCAGCCTCCCGAGTAGCTGGGACTACAGGCGCCCACAACCGCGCCCGGCTAATTTTTTTGTATTTTTAGTAGAGACGGGGTTTCACCATGTTAGCCAGGATGGTCTCGATCTCCTGACCTCGTGATCCGCCCGCCTCGGCCTCCCAAAGTGCTGGGATTACAGGCTTGAGCCACCGCGCCCAACCCTAATTTCTCTTTTAATCATTGAACTACATTCTTCCTATGTTTATCCAGCTTTCCGTACCAAATTAAATCTCATACTTGGTAGTGTAAATTTGAGTTTGAAGGTTAAAGAATGTTTTCCAGGGGACTAAAACAGGAAAAGAACTGTCAACAGAATTGAATAAATTGGAAGATGGGAGGCCACTGCACTAGTACTACAGTGCCCCCTAGTGGACACAAGGAAACATGGGCATGTTTATACCAAGAATGACCCCAGTCTCTTTCTTCCGCAGGCAATTAGAATCTGGAGGTGCCTCAGTGGTCAACTAGGTCAACACCTCTGGCTTCCAAAAAGGGAAACTTAGAAACAAAATGAAGAAATGACTGGCCCAAGTTCACATTGTCAACCCAAGGCTAAAATCCAAGATTCCTAACTCTCATTTTTCTTCCTTTTTGCTACCCTTGATTTCTTTTTTCTTCCTTCTTTTTCAAAATATATTGTGCTCCTATTATAAAGCAAGATTCTAGGAATACAGATATAAAGAAGATTTAGTCATTGCCTTCAAATCTAGTTTTACTTCAAGCTAATTTTTTTAGCCATTTTCAGGGAAAGAATTTGTTGGGAAATGACCAAACAACTATGCAGGGGAAGGTTCTCAATCATCCACAAATTGACTCACAATATGATTAATTAATTATGAGTTTTAACTGGAAAGTACAATCACAAATGTGAAAATTGCCCTTGATCAGATTCAAACCATTTCATAAAGAGGTAAGGCATACTTTCAAATGGCCTGTATTAACCTTTATCTTATTTCTCCTTTGCGGATTCAACTGTGAGCTATCTTGCAAAAAATACAAGAAGATATGGAAAGTTTTCATGAGTGCCTACCACCTAATCCCAAACACTGTCATTCATATGCGCATCATTGAGCAAATCTTTATTGAGGATCTATATGCCAGGTGTGTGCTAAGCGCTGGGCTTAGTGTGGCAAAGAGAAGAGATATGACCTTGAGGTTTCTGCTCTCACAAAGCTTGCAGTCTCCTATTTGTGTATGTGTAATTCTCTAATGCTCAGGAAAGCTGTTTACCTCATTTTGCTTTGGCATCATATTTTTAGGCTATAGAAATCAGAGAGTATGCAAACATTTTCTAAAATTACTCTGCCCCACAAAAAGGGAAACACAAATAACAATTTGGGGCCAGATAGAACTGGATTTGAATTCCAAGCCTGCCCTTTACAAGCTATTAAACAAACGAATTCTCTGAGCCCCTGTTGCTTTCATGAAGTGGAAATAATATGTATCCCTTGTAAGGGATCATATCCTTATTAATACCTAAATAGAGACATTACTTTTTGAGTCAAAAATATGAATTCTATGGTCCATCTCCTAAAATGCAGAAAAATTATCAAAAGAGAAGCATTATTAATATTGTTCACTTAGTTTCATCAAGAATGTCACTTTCCAGCATTAATACAGACAGATATTCTTTGCCATTGACTTTTTCCTGTTTTAAAATAAGGTGAGATGCTCTAACAATGGATGCCACTCCAACAGAGTTTCTGTAAGGCTGTTAGTTTCTTTTTCCATGGATAGTTTCCATGGCCTTGCTCCACATAAACTAAGCCCTATTATTTCAATTATGGTGACTAAATCTAGTATGACCATTATTTGTCTGTATAAGGGATCTTGTAGTAATCTGTGTATAAACTTATCACTCCATCTATTTAATGATTTGACTAAGTCAAGGATCATATTTTATTTCCCTCTGTTCTCCCCTCCCAGTGGTACCTCACACAGAATTAGAGCACACTAAATGTGTGCTGAGTAAAAAGACTATCTTTCTATGTGCTTTTTGACATGTAAGCTGAGAGAGAAATTTTAGCATATGTTGTAGGTAAACTTACTTTGTTTTACCTGAGAGTAGCAAGTATCAAACAGATCCTACTCCTGTTACAATCCTGCTAGAGGAAAAAAAGTAGTTAAATTCCCCAATCTCTACTCAAACCAAAACAAAACTTCAAAAATATTGAGACACAGAGAGAAGGAATAGGATGGGGTCAGTGAGGACTGGTGTTTGTGCATGGTGTGCATGCAGCAGGCTAACGTCCTTTCCCTGTTGTAATAGCTCCGAATGTAAGTGCCACACACCACCAGGTCTATGAAAAGCCCAGGGTTTAAAGGTCAAACAAGTTTGGGAAAGCTTGCCCAGCATTTTCCTCTCTTGCAAGTTGGCGGTGCATACTGGTAAATTAAAGCCTATAAAAACTGCTTAACATTGTTTTACCTTGCAGTCCCCAAATTCATTTGACCAACATTTCACCTATAAACATCCCGCAGATCTGGTAGATTCTGTGGAAGGCACAGACTTCAGGGAACTGCTCCACTGTGTTGAAAGGACTTCTTTCTCTTGTTCATTCACACACAAAAAGCTGCCATTTTATTTCCAAATCCTACAGGTCTGGGAATGTGAGTATTTCCAGCAATGTTTTAACTATAGAAAAGTGAGACCACTTCCTGACAATTTAGCGGTCCCAGAAAGTTTATACAATTGAATTTTAGGTATGTTTAAGAAGTCAGTTCAAATCCAGGAAATGGCTTCCCAGCAATGCCTGGAATGTCCTCATAAAAACTGAGAAACAGATATCCAAGTCCTGTTTTGGATCTTGGAGGGACAGAGAGAAAGAAGAGAAAAACATAAAATTATAGTCCCAAATCTCATGATGTTTCTTCCAGTTTTCTACAAATAAATATCCACTTTCTCTGAACTCCATCTTGGGGCTTTATTTTTGTGTGTTCTTAATTCTCCTCTCTAGATGGCAGCACAGATGAAAAAATGCCAGAAACAGCAGGCCGGACTTAGCAGCAGCAAACTGCCATCAACAGCCCTCCCCCAACTCACCCTTCATTTTGTTTTGTTTTTTTTTTAAGAAACAGAATCTAAGATACGATGGCTGACACTTTTTCCCAAATAGATTTAATCAGTCACATGAGAATACAAAGAATGACTAATGACACACTGATATTAGTGAACAAGGGAACTGACTCTTAACAGCGTCTCTTACATGTTACTTGTGTTTTCTGTATCTTAAAGATAATGTAGGCATTGTTCCTAAGTCATGCAGAAGGGTCGTGTAAGCATGGTCTTTTGCATCATTACCCTGCACATCTGATACAGCCAAACTCCACGCCACCTGGTTTGCTATAAGTGTTGGATTCATTTAAGATCCGTAACAATGCTATTTACTGACCTTCTTGTCAACTGATGCTGTGACACTGCTGTAAAATGATCCCTATGTCACCAGATGCTGCCCTGAAACTTAGGAAGTCAGCATGAAGGTAACACTTCATTAGAAGTATGCAATTTATGGGAGAATTAATAATGCAAGAGAAAAGGAGTAGAACAGACATAAAGAGAAGACCTTTGAGGTTTACATCAAACCCCATCAAAAGATCTTTTTAAAAAAAAAAAAACCTTACCCTTCAGGAGTTCATTGAATCTCATCATTAATAAGATGGGGTCTACCAGCAAGATGTTCTTAACAAAATCTGCTGACAGGGAAAACATAAGAAAGCTGGCCCCTTATGTATGACATTTCAAGGGCTCAAGAGTGTTCTAAAGAAAACTAAATTGTTCATGTGTAGTGAACTGGACAGAAGCTAAAAGGTGACCTGTGTCTTTTAAGCAACAACAGCAAAACATCGCCATGGGACTGGGTGCGGTGGCTCACCCCTTTAATCCCAGCACTTTGGAAGGCCGAGGTGGGCGGATCATTTGAGGTGAGGAGTTCAAGACCAGCTTAGCCAACATGGTGAAACCCTGTCTCTACTAAAAATACAAAAAATTAGCGAGACGTGGTGGTGTGCTCCTGTAATCCTAGCTACTCGGGGAGGCTGAGGCACAAGAATCACTTGAACCCTGGAGGCCGAGGTTGCAGTGAGCCAAGATGGCACCACTGCACTTCAGGAAAAAAAAAAAAAAAGAAAGAAATCACCATGGGAATAAAAACAAATATAGTACATAAATAAACCAACCCGAGGCCAAAACAAAAAACTAGGTGAATCTTTCATATTTAAGAAAAAAATCAATATTTGATGTGTCAGAGAACTTTTAAATTCTGTCTCTATCCTTTTTTTTTTTTTTCTTTTTTGAGATGGAATCTTGCTCTGTCACCCAGGCTGGAGTGCAATGGTGTGATCTTGGCTCACTGCAACTTCCACCTCCTGGGTTCAAGCAATTCTCCTGCCTCAGCCTCCTGAGAAGCTGGGATTACAGGCACGTACTACCACACCCGGCTAATTTTTGTATTTTTAGTAGAGATGGGGTTTCACCATGTTGGTCAGACTGGTCTCAAACTCCTGACCTTATGATCTGCCCGCCTTGGCTTCCCAAAGTGCTGAGATTACAGGCGTGAGCCACTGTACCTGGCTCCTATTTTTTTTTTTTTTTTTTTAATGAAAGCAGTTTTTCCACAAGATTACTCTAAATACCACATCTTTCCTTAAATGAATACCTTTGATAATTAGTGTGGGTTGAAATTAGTTAATACTATAATGGGTCAGGCTATCTGCCTTTGCCAACACAACTCCTAGTGCTCTAAGGATACTGAATACTTTTTCCTGGACTCTAAGTTTAGAGACAAAATCAAGCCCTAAAATGAACAGGCAGAGAGGTACTGAGACAGTATGGCATATGAGAGAGTGAAGGAGCTGGGACAGGCCTGCATTCATCTCAAAGACTACGCCAGTCCAGTGCTGCAGACCAGCAACCCTCAGCTCTGAACCTATCTCTGGAATCAATACTCAGCCCACTCCTTCCAGAGACTCAGGAGCCTTGGAAGTATGACACACCCAGGACAAAGCTGAAGGCTAAGAGACCTAAATGTTCTTCCATTCCCACTAATTCTGCATCTGTGCAGCCTACTAAACCCACCATCCCTCAGACCCTCAGTATCCTTAATGTGTATCCAAGAGGGGAGGTTCTTTCAATGAGTTATCCTCTTAATGAACTCTCATCCTCATACTAGACTCGGTTTCCCATTCCGCCCTGTGATATTGTGACAAGAAATAAATATTTAGGGCCAAGCACAGTGGCTCATGCCTGTAATTCCAGCACTTTGGGAGGCCAAGGCAGGTGGATCACAAGGTCAGGAGTTCAAGACCAGCCTGGCCAACGTGGCGAAACCCTGTCTCTACTAAAAATACAAAAATTAGCTTGGCGCGGTGCCAGGAGCCTGTAATCCCAGCTACTCCAGAGGCTGAGGTAGGAGAATCACTTGAACCCAGGGGCGGAGGTTGCAGTGAGCTGAGATTGCGCCACTGCTTCCAGCCTGGGTAACAGAGTGACTCAAAAAAAAAAAAAAGGAAAAGAAATATATATTTGGTCTCTTCCCCTGGTTCCTGGCACACAGCTCTTAAAACCCTTGGACTCCCCAGAGTGATAAGAGTGTCTTTGGTATGCTAATAAGACATTGGTGGCTGGGGAGCCCTAGATAGCTTCAAGAGGGGGGCTGGTCACCAGAAAGACCAAGGCATGATTAGAGGGATGGGACTTTCAGCCTTACCCTCCAACTTCTAGGGAGGGTAGAGGGGCTGAAAGTAGAGTTGATTACCAATGGCTAATGATGTAATTAATCATGCCTACCTAATAAAGCTTCTGTAAAAACCCAAAGGACAGAGTTCTGAGAGCTTCCAGGTTGCTGAACATGTAGAGGTACCTGGAGGGTGGAATGTCTATGAAGGGCAGGGAAGCTTCATGCCTCTTCCCCCATCCCTCGCCCTATGCATCTCTTCCATCTGGCTATTCATCTGTATCCTTTGTAACATCCTGTATTAGTCCCTTCTCGCTGCTGGGTGATTTATAATTTAAAAAAAAAAAAAAAAGGTTTAATCAGCTCACAGTTCAGCAGGCTGTTCAGGAAGCATAGCAGCTTCTGCTTTTGAAGAGGCCTCAGGAAACTTACAATTATGGTGGAAGGACAAGAAACACACACATCTTACATAACCAGAGCAGAAGAGAGAGTGGGGAGATGCTTTTAAACAACCAGATCTTGAAAGCACTCACTGTCACAAGAGCAGCACCAGGGAGGAAATCCACCCCATGGTCCAGTCACCTCCCACCAGGCCCCATCTCCAACACTGAGGATTACAATTCAATGTGAGATTTGGGTGGGGACACAGATCCAAACCACATCACATGCTTTGTGATGAATGTAAGTAGTGATTGCCTGAGTTCTGTGAGCTGCTCTAACAAACTAATTGAACCCGAGAAGTGGAATCCTCATAGGAACCCCTAATTTATAACCAGTCAGTCAGAAGTATAGGTAACAATACTGAAACATTGGAATTGGCATCTGAAGTGGAAGCAATCTTGGGAGACTGAGCCTTCTGCCTGTGGGATCTAATGCTATCTCCAGGTAGATAGTGATTATAGGATAATTGTGTCCACTGAAGAACTGGTTGTAGGTGGAGGAAAACCTCCACACATTTTGGTGACCAGAAGTATTGTATTCGTTGAGTATGTGAGATTAGGAAAAAATTTTTTCTTATATCTCTTACATTCCCTTTCCTCTGAAACTTTTCCTCTATGACCTTGGGAATCTCATTCCATCATCAGCTAACTCCCTGATACACCCAGCCTCTTCAATGACCTTTTTAAATTATTATTATTATACTTTAAGTTCTAGGGTACGTGTGCACAACACGCAGGTTTGTTACATATGTATACATGTGCCACTTTGGTGTGCTGCACCCATTAACTCGTCATTTACAGTAGATATTTCTCCTAATGTTATCCCTCCCCCTCTTTAGCTATCTAGGTATTTCCATGAAACATACCTGACTTCTCAGTTTCTTGATTCCATTTCAATTACCTTCTCCACTGTGCTTCAATCACTCAATCCCATGGCCACCCCTAGGTCATGTCATCAAGAAACCACAGCACCTCTGAACCCATGACTTTTAAGTCCTCCAGTTCTTTTCATTTGGTTATTTTCACCATGTTTATTTTCCAAACTTATTAAGATCTGCAGTCTTTCTGCTTTCTCCTTTCCCCTTATCTATAATCTGCTTACTGTCCCCTGTTCCTTCTCTACTGAGGAAGGACTCCATGGCTGATAACATTGGCCTCTGACCAGTGTTCTCAACTCCATTACTTCATTATTCTTCTGTTTTATCTGCCTGACAAATTTTAGAGTGTGTACCCTGAATCCAGCTGTCTGTCTTGGCCATTCCTTTACCTAAGCTGTTGGGCACTGGAGGAAAAAATCACCCTGTCACACAGATTGGGGCTACCTTAAATTTATGCTCAGCAACCTCAGGTGGGACCTCACTGCTGCCTGCAGTCCTACTCTATTCTCCGGCCTGCTCATTTTCTCAGTCTCCAGAGGGGCTATTTCAAGGATTCGCCTCTTTCTGCGCCTCCACGTGTTGGCCTCTCTACCTTCTCATTCTCACTTGGTGATTTTTTTCCCCCACATATCAGAGTTGGTTGGGGGTAGATGTTATGAGATGTGAGCAGTCTCAGTTTTCCATAACAACCTACACACTTTTTTGTGTGTGTGTGAGACAGGGTCTCACTCTGTCACCCAGGCTGGAGTGCAGTGGCGTGATCATGACTAACTGCAGCCTCAACCTCCTGGGTTCAGGTGATCCTCCCACCTCAGCCTCCTGAGTACCTGGGACTACAGGCCCATGCCACCACGCCTGGCAAACTTTTTGTAGAGATGGGGTTTCCCATGTTGTCCAGGCTGGTCTCAAACTCCTGGGCTCA